AAGAAACCTGGGGAGGTGAAGGAAAAAGCCCCCAAGAAGCGGGCAGCCGCGGCCAAGCCGAAGAAGCCGGCGGCCAAGAAGCCCGCCAGCGCTGCTAAGAAGCCCAAGAAGGCGGTGACAGCAAAGAAGAGCCTGAAAAAGGTTAAAAAGCCGGTGGCCAAGAAAGCGGCCAAGAGCCCTAAAAAGGCGACCAAGGCAGCCAAGCCCAAAAAGGCTGTGGCCTCGAAGAGTCCGGCCAGGGCGAAGGCGGTGAAGCCCAAAGCAGCCAAGCCCAAGGCAGCGAAGCCTAAAGCAGCCAAGGCGAAGAAGGCGGCGCCCAAGAAGAAGTAAACTGCCGTGGAAGAAAACTTTTTTTAAAACCCCAACGGCTCTTTTAAGAGCCACCCAAATTCTCTCGAAAAGGGCTGAAATAAGGGTATGTTTCTGTCATTATAGGTAGGTAGCAGTTCGTTTCCCCCACTGGGACGCTGACAAAGCATGTGCTGTGACATGAACAAAACCACCTTAGGGGCAACCCCTCATGGTCTGCTGATCGTTATCCTGGTGCAGCACTGGGTGGGGGGCGGTGAGGGCGGAGATCGCGCATTCCTTTGAGGTTGGACATTGTTTCAAGCTGCGTGAACACTCAGGGACTTGAAAAGTATTCCTCTGCCCTTAAGTAGCTCTTGTAGCCGCTTTTTAACACTTATTTTCCGCAGGCCTTTGTGGCTACGTAACCAAGCAATAAAAAGGGAGAGGTGTGGTAGGTTTCCCTAAACAGGTTGTTAACGGCAGCGGCAAGACGGGGCAGATTTAATTTGCATTTTGAATTAGAACGATAGAATGGGAAGTATGGAGCACTTAAGCTTTCAAAACAGTAAGGCACAAAAAAATAAGTTCAGCTGCACTTAAAGTGATAAAAACACTTTGAAATACACATACGCAGCTGAATTTACTTTTTTTTTTCCCCTTTTTTTAGCATAAAAATAATGCAAGCAATTCAGCTCTTTAGTGATGGAGTGGGTGGCTCTGAAAAGAGCCTTTGTGTTTCTCCGGGAAAAAGCTTCCCGGGGGCTGTTCTTTGGGTGCTCACTTGGCTTTAGCCTTGTGGCTGTCGGTCTTCTTGGGCAGCAGCACGGCCTGGATGTTGGGCAGCACCCCGCCCTGCGCGATGGTCACCTTGCCCAGCAGCTTGTTGAGCTCCTCGTCGTTGCGGATGGCCAGCTGCAGGTGGCGGGGGATGATGCGCGTCTTCTTGTTGTCGCGGGCCGCGTTGCCCGCCAGCTCCAGGATCTCGGCCGTCAGGTACTCCAGCACGGCCGCCAGGTACACCGGGGCGCCGGCGCCCACCCGCTCCGCGTAGTTGCCCTTGCGGAGCAGCCGGTGGACGCGGCCCACCGGGAACTGCAGCCCGGCCCGCGCCCAGCGCGACC